TATCCTTGGTAGGAAGCTAGCGCGCAAGGTTGTCGGTTCCTTTTTGAAAATTCTCTTCGGCCGCTGATCCTGTCCGCCTTAGACGTTTATCCGCGGTCTTTTTCTTTTGTTCGTGCCGTGCCTCTCTAAGCACGGAATAAAAAGCAGAGAGATAGGTCCATCGGGGATGCCGCGGGATTTTCGAGCGGCCAAGAAATATGCTTCCACGAAGCGGATTTTCGCGCGAATTTAAAAGTACCGCGGCGTAGCGCATTAACGAAAAGCCGTGTGATTTATAGTTTGCCCAAAAAGCGCGGGAGAGAATACACCATTGTCCACGGGATCGATAAACAGGAGAGAAGTTTCGCGAGACGAGTGGCGCATGAAATTAAGCCGAGTTCGTCGAATTAAAATATAATCGACGGCGTAATCTCATTACCGGACAGTCGTTTCACGTCCCTTCGCTTTGTTTTACTGGCTTCATTGTTCCCGACTTCCGCGTACTTAACGGTACACGGTGCTCCGAAAGTGCCGGCGTATTTCGGTGAAACGAAGCGAATTTGTAGAAATTTCATTGCTTTGACGCGACACTTTGCCAAGAAAATAGGGCCATCGTGAATTCATCGTGCGTTCCGAGTATGAAGAAGGTCGTAAATTTGTTTAAAATTTAATATATTTTTCCGAGCCACGGGTCGAGTCGTTTAAAAGTTTCAGCACTTAAGGTTTTCCGTCCTTCGTGGATCATATTGTACTTATTATAATTGGAAAAAAGAAATAATCCAAGTTAAAGTGCATGAAAACGTGGCGATAGAGGAAGTAAAGTTGATTGCTATTTTACAGCCAAGTAATTTTTTTTAATCATGTACACTTTTTTAAATAGATCCTATCGAGGGAGGATGTTTGAAAAATGCATATCACATTATAATCCGTTCAGGAGTTATAATTTTTTAAACATACGAATGAAATTTCGGATAAACATTTCAGGCTGCAGATAATATTTTCGGTTATGAATTTTTTTCTCGAAAGTGAGCAGGAATTCGAGGGTGTGTCCATTCATAAAACATGATTGTAATTGACCCCTGCAATCGAAAATAATTTTTTCAGAACGATTCGAAAATTTTTTTTTTCAGGGTAACGAAACAGTTATGGTCAGACATTATAGTTTCAGTAATGAATTGTTTTCTCAAAAGTGAGTAGGATTTCGGGGATATGTCTATTGACCAAAAATGATGGTAACTGATCCCTGTAACTAAAAATAATTTTTTTAAAACGATTTGAAATTTTTTTTTTTTTGTTGAAAAATTTCACACCTTGAATTTTTTTTTCGAATGTGGGTAGGATTTCGAGGGTACGTCTATTGACCAAAAATGATTGTAATTGATCCCTGTAACTAAAAATAATTTTTTTAAAACGATTTGAAATTTTTTTTTTTTTGTTGAAAAATTTCACACCTTGAATTTTTTTTTCGAATGTGGGTAGGATTTCGAGGGTACGTCTATTGACCAAAAATGATTGTAATTGATCCCTGTAACTAAAAATAATTTTTTTTAAACGATTTGAAATTTTTTAATTTTGTTGTAAAATTTCACACCTCAAATTTTTTTCTCGAACGTGGGTAGGATTTCTGGGGTATGTCTATTGACCAAAAATGATTGTAATTGAAAAAATAGTCGGAATAGTATTCCTGATAACCGGGTGTTGGATAATCGGAACTCTACTGTGTAGCATTCGATGTCAAATCGGGGAGAAGAATTGGCGTTTACGTGTCTTCTTGGCACGTTTCCATCGTGCACTGCGGCACATTGGAAGAAAGGGAGGTTCTTCTGGGTGGTCCTTAATTAACTTGTTCCTTTGCATACTTGCTTACGTTTGAGGAACTACGTGACTGAATTTGCAAGTTCGCTGACATTGCCTCTATTACATTTGACGCGGTATCGAAGCTACATCGAAGATTACTCGATTACTTCTAATTACTTCCCGTGACTGCGATACTGTGTTGCTTATCGAAATATGTACTTGATTCGTGTGTACTTATCTTCATCTGTCAAGTGTAGTATGTGAGTAAAGCATTCATTTACAGAGTGATTTCTTTTTTTTTGTTAAGTATCAATTATTTAATTAGAACATTTTCCGAGAAATGCAAACCTTCGTCGATTTTTAGAATTCTACGATTAAATGTAGAATCGTTCTAAATCGATTATTTTTTTATGAAACAAGATGTAATTTTAAGCATTTTTTTAAATTTATTTCGATCATTTCTACCGCTGATTTTTATATAATTAAACTATTTCTCAATAACGAAGATATTTAATTTTATAATTCAAAGACCAAAATTATTGTAGGAAATCCGATAAACTTTATATATATGTCTGACTTTCAATTTATGTTTACAATTAATTATCGAAATGTTTCATATAAATACAAATAAAACAGTGTAGAAAACTAAGTTGGCATGTAGTCGTGGTTCTGATGGTGGATTCATCAGTAAAACTGACGCAGCACATTTAGCCTTAGACACGACTAAGACTTTTGACAAACAATGGCTCTAGAGTACCGCAATCAAATATTTAACAGCGAGTCAACAATTTGTATCAGTGGTCATTTGCTTACGAATATACAAAATAGAATATTGTTATCCAATTTTTCAAGGGCATAATAAATTACCATTGACCTTTAAAGAATAAATAAAAAAATAGAAGTAATAGTTTTGAAACATACTTTTGCTGACACGACTATGCTTTCAGAATTATTTTTAATATACAGGGTGTTCGGCCACCTCTAGCAAAAATTTTAATGAGCGATAGTAGAGGCCAAAATAAGACGAAAATCAAGAATACTAATTTGTTGATGGAAGCTTCGTTAAAAAGTTATTAACAATTAAATTCAAAAATTTCAAATCGTTCTGGAAAAATTATTTTCGGTTGCGGGGGTCAACTACAATCATTTTTGGTGAGTACACATACCTCCGAAATCCTACCCACTTTCGAGAAAAAAAATCGAGTAGGTGCTGAAATTTTTCGGCGAAAAAAAATTTTTCAAATCGTTTTAAAAAAATTATTTTCGGTTGCGGGGATCAATTACAATCATTTTTTATCATTACACATACCTCCGAAATCGTACGCACTTTCGAGAAAAAAATTCCTTACTGAAAATCCAATTAGGTGCCTAAATTTTTCAACGGAGAAAAAAAATTGCAAATCGTTGTGGAAAAATTATTTTCGGTTGTAGGGTTCAATTACAGTAATTTTTGGTGAATAGACATACCCCCGAAATCTTGCGCATTTTCGAGAAAAAAATTCAGTAAGAGCGGCACTTTAAACGTTAATAACTTTTTAACGAAGCTTCCACCAACAAATTAGTATTCTTGATTTTTGTCTTATTTTGGCCTCTACTATCGCTCATTAAAATTTTTGCTAGAGGTGGCCAAACACCCTGTATAGATAGTTGATACTTCATTAATAAAATGAATAATGCACCACCAAGGATCAATTTTGCTACTTAATGATAGAACAAAATTAAGTTTCTTTCATTTCTAAATTTCACCGCCGTTTAATCTCAAGTAAAGATACGTTCAACGATCACGATTGGCTGTGTTCAATGGTACGTGATCGGAGAATCAACCAGCGTCTTCTTTTCTTAATTCGAGTGCTGATTGGCCCTTTGGCATCGTGCCTCTTTGGATCCTGTCGGTTTGCGTCGAACTAAACATTCACACATTCCCAACAAGTCATCATGGTTGTTACTTCAATCGATCGTGATCAATTTTACACAAAAATTAAATTTTTCATTAACTATTTGCTATTTTAAATTTTATTTTACAATGTCAATCAACATTCTTAACATTCCTGCTGCAATTATGCTACATTCTTTGTTCACTTTAAATTCTAGAACCAAATTTTACGAACCTTTTATCAAGGTTGAAAACGTTAAAACGAATGCTCGAAGGCTACGCAACATGAGTCATTTTTATCTTTTATTTGTAGTTCTTAAACCCGGAACGAATTATATAATTTATTGGAGGCGTAATTGTGCCCTTAAAGTTCCATACTAGAATTCTAGAAGCATTATTACGCCGTCAGTAAAAATTCCTTTTAATGTTTTATTTATTCGCAAGAGCAATGTCTCTGGCACGTGTTTATATGAACTTTTGTTATTATTTTCTTGCGTAGAGTCAATCAATTTTTTATATACGCAAGAACCACGATCGATCTATGTAAATACACGTTTCGGTATTGTTTGGACAGAAATTTGAAAGTTTAACCACCTGCCTGTTAACGAGTAACGGAGCAGTTAATTGCCGGATATAAACACGTTGATGATCCCACGAAACCGTGAAGACGAAACTTATAATTAGATGGAAATGTTCCACCGGATATCCCGAAATATTATTCCAGTCAACGATTATGTACGCTAATATACTCGAAGATTGGGGAATCTTGGGGAACCGAGGGTTTCAAGTTTTATTGCTTCGCGACCCTTGCGCGAAATTGCCCTCTTTGTGTTTACACAAGTTTTCATCTGCGTCTGATTTCCGCAGATATTCACGTACTTTCTCGCGAGAATTTTTCTCCCTGCGGAACTGAATAAACAGCGAAACTCTGAACTCGACTGCGGTTGTTTATACAGCAAATTAATGTTCCTTAAAGAGAGTCCTCTGTTTATTCGGGGAAATGTGTTGATTGAGAATTGATGGCATTTTTTAAACGATAATGCGTCCACTGTGTAACGAAGAAAATTAAAAATTGTATCGCGATCCACAAATGAGAAGCATTAACTTCAAATTGCATGGAACAATCGACAGTCTTTGACTTTTCAAACTTTAAACAGGGAAAGTTTTGCAAAATCGTTGACTGTTTTTCTTCTTTGGTTTCTCGAACTATCTACGTGGCGTAGCTAAATCGTTCTCGGAACGATTCTTCCGTAGAATCGTCAAACTATTTTCTCGAGAACTTTACGTAATGCGTCTAAAGTATCGTGTCTAATCTAATCTAATCGTATATTATGTTCTGTTCTTTTCACAGATCGTCAAATCGTTCAGGAGCCATGGCCTTCGATTCTACGGAAAACAAAATTCTATGCTCTGTTTGAAATCCCGAGCAACTGCCCGAGGGACAAGGTAGAATTAGTTCCTCGAACTCTTTGCTCGTCTTTAAAAGTTCGTCGAGTGGTGAATAAAGAACACGAAGAGGAACGTCGAGGACAGGGATCGACGAGTAAGCGGAAAGCAAGGATCTCTTCAACTACTGTCGCCCTGGAATAAGGTAAGTTAACCATATTCTCAAATTTTTATCAAACGCGTTTGTTATCGCGATCGAATTACGACCAAATTTTCCGTTGTCTCGTTGGTGCAAGTGTTATCGTTTCGCTCGTCTTTTCAGTGAATCAGAAAATTTTCTCACATTTTCTATTCTTTTGTCTTGAAGTAAATTTAGGTATAGTTGTAGTTGGGCAAAATCCTGAATGATGAAATAAAATTATATTTCGCTTTGAACGAACGTTTCGATTAGGTATACATTATTCGACGAAAATGTTACTCTGGATACACGGTGACCTATTTTACTTTACACGTGAATTTATCTTGGAAAGTAGCTGAATAGAGAAAAAGATGAATGCATAGGTCTTGAAGGGGTTTTAGGAAGTCATTAGAATTTCATAGAGGAAAGTCGATAAAGATGTCATGGATACTACAAAGTCACTTCAGGGTGCATTAATGGGACTTAAAGATTTGCTTTTACCATAGCTAGTTTCCTGAACAGTTTCTAAGAACTATAGACGAATCGATTGTAAAATTACAGTTTTTAACTATTTTATACAGATGTAAAATAGAAGTTAATATTTTTTCGATCATTATATCAACCTTTACATTTTAGTAGTTCTCAGGTTTGCATTTATCAAAGTTTTTATTTTAAATAAGATTCTTGAAATTCGTGGCAATCTTATTGCACACCTTCATAAAGTATCGCCCTGAAAAATTCATGGGATTAAAATCTGTCAGGCGCTTGTGTATCAAAAATCGAAGTTTTATCCAAAGAAACAATTTTCTTTTTAAGCGATGGGCAAAAGTGTTAAGAAATCGTTCGGTGAGAAAAATATCCAGCTGTTTGTTTCCAGTATAAAAAACAGAGAACTAGAAGCTTCTGAGTACAGTGCTTTTCCCATGGAGCGCGAACAGTAGGTTCTGAAGGAACATTATGAGGGTGGTATTTACAGAATGCAGTTAGCGAGGGAGGTATGTGTTCCAGGAATTTACCGCTATCTATCTCCAGCTCTCTGCTCTCCAAGTGCGTCGAGGATGAGAGTGAGAACCAGTATGAGCGAGTGTGAAACAGTAAGGGCGAGTGAGATGTAGTTGAAGCGGTAGGTAAACTAAACGATAGCTAATGAGACAGAAACCGCAATAATTAGGAGACATTACTATAGTTAGCAAAATGGTACACGAAATATGAAGCGTTGTATGTAAGTACCACAGAATCAATTATTTTAGCCCTGGGTGTTATTTTAATATCAAAGCATATTTCGATTAAATCCATCGAGGAACAACTAAAAAAAGTTTTCTTTAAAAAAAAATATTTTTCATACAAAACTTTTTCTTTTTCGTCGAATATTGTCGTGTAAATTTCCCATTTCCATTCATCGAATGGTTTTGGGAAAGGTTCGATTTTGTTATACCCATATTAGGAGCTTCGAAGCAACCCCCATTTTCTCCAAATGTTTACAAATCGTCTTAGCTCGTGTGTTTGAAATTTCGAGGCTCTCCCGACCCGACAAATGTTTCTTTCTTTCCCTACTGAATCGCGAATTTTATCCCCGTCAATTTGAGAATGTCGAACACCGTGAATTTATGGGACGGCCTGATACTGGAGAATGTTTACCGTCGTGGTGCATTCTCGCTTGGAGCACCTTCGTGACACGTGGCCATGCACGCAAGTTTAAGGTCTGCAGGGTTTAAGGTCGCGAGCAAGGCTCGAAATAGTACTTGCGTGCCCGTGCAAGGGACAATTTCGTCCCCCAACGTTCCCAGCGTTGACAACTATTGGCTCCATTTGTCTCCCTCGTTGTCCCCATGTATCTTACTTTATGCTAACGTTCGCGCGCGTGATACTCCGAAGACGCACGGAACTGAGTTACATCTTCCACGAGCACGCTTTAATTGCAAAGGTCTCCGGCTCGCTCGCAAGAATTTGTTGCGCTCGAGAAATTCGCGGTTTCCTTTGAGTTTCGGGCTATTAAGCTCAGAACAGAGTTAGTTGTTACTTTTCAACCCACGAGATTGTGGTCGAGAACAATATTCAAAACAATTTCTTCAACAAGGTTGCATCAATCTATTTTTCACGATTAAACTGTGGGTGTTTACTATAGAATGCACTCCATATGCAAAAATAAAAGAAACACTAACAAAATATGAATTTGCATGAACATCCACAGTCTATTTATTGCATTGTGTTACTTCTATTTAGATAGTTTTGTTTTTTACGAATTCCTTTCACTTATTTCTACCAAATGTCGTTTAGTGCAACATTGAGATTTCTCTGAAAGTGTCTTACTAATCGTTCAATTTTATTATAAAAAAGGACGAGACTGACGAATACAAATTTTTTAATCAGACGCAAGGACGATGAAAGCAACGACTGAAAGTTAATTAACGAGCGAAGATAAGTTCGATCGCTAGTTAAACTGGGAAAGAGAGTTTTCGAACGTTTAGCGTCGAAGTTCACCATCGAGGAGCAGGATGACGAAGAAGTCGCGTCTTCGTTGGGAAAGTTTTCAGTTCGATTCAATTTCATATCTCGTTTGAAGACTCCGGCGTAGCGCAACAGACCGACGCTCCACTTTTTTCGAGTGCTCGATTGTCCGGAATCTTTCCAGTAATATACGACGGTCGTGGAACGTGTACGGATTCCTCCCCCGGGATTTATGCAGGATTTTTGCGGCGTTCAGCCCCGGTATTCCGGTTGTTAGTTCTCTCTTAGCTCCAGTCGAAGCGCCGGGCGAAATGGAGAGCCCTCGACGATCTAAAAATGGTTTCCAGCGGCCAGGAAATGCTACGTCTCGCCTCGCGGCCAGGGATATAATGGAATCTCTTAAGGAAAAGTCGATTTGAGAAGTGTCGGGTTGTAGCGCCGCGAAAACTTCTTGCTCGGTGGCCTGGCACGTTGGTCAAGGTGAAGAAGTTTCAGTTTGAGTGGCTACCCTTACGGGAACGTCTGTGGCTTCGAGACTAATTGCGAGCAGCTTTTAAGGTGTTAATTTAGTTTGGAGCAGCGAGTCGTGAAATCGGTATAATGAGTCGCGACGACCGAAAAGGATCCACTTGCTTTTATTTATTTCCTTTGGTAATTAACAGGTCGAAGACCAACTTTTTACGTTGCTTACGATAACACGTACTATCTCGAAACATCAGTTTTAGTCCAGAGGCTAGAAATACATAAAATATAACTTCAAAGTTCGATTATTGTTAAAATAATACAAAAATTATTCCAACGTATTCACCGATACAACTAAACTGAACCGTGGAATTTACAACGAGGAAATAATAAACGTTTACGTTCCTTGCAAAAAATAATGTAGATATTGTTGCAGCAGAGACATATTTCATTCTAAAAATACTAATATTAATAGGGAAGGAAAAATCTAACAATTCTTTAAATGAATGATGGATAAACATATTTATTTTTAATTCTATACATTTATTTTTATTTTTTCCTTTTTTTAAATTCTGAATTTCTTAAATTATACACGTTTCGTGCTGCTAGGAAGTGTTACTATTATTATTTAACCTGAAAAATGAGTTCATAAGGGCAATTTAAGAACCATATGAAATTAAATAGTAACAAATATAACATCGTTTATTTTAAATACTATAAAATATACCATAATGTGTTCAACGGATAATGGAACAGAACTTGGGTATCCGTGAAAGCAACAAACATAAAGATAAAATCATAGAGAATTTCTATTTTAAAATAACGCAAGATAACCTTACTAGAAAAGGGCAAACAACATTGGCAAGGCTTAGAATAGACCAAGCAAGAATAACACACAAATACCTCACAGAAAAGACAGACCCACCTACTCGAGAAACGTGCAAAATCCAATGCTCAGTCAAAATTATATTTGATGCCAAAATTATAATTTTCAGACCAAGTACAGTCACGAATTATTAACCAGGCTGAGAAGAAATAAAAATGTCACTGCATATCTCACGATTATAAACATGTTAAACGAGCACTGATAAACATATCAAGTCGTTAATTGCCATAATGTTGATGCATTTGGTGTACATAAATGAAAAATAATACTTTGAAATAAGAAAGTCATCAGCTCCAGCCAAACGTAATTCTATTATAATTATATGCTTTCAGTTTCATTTAAGTTGTATTATATGTTATATTTTATATTATTTTAGATGGACAAAATTTTTTTGAAATATAGATAAGGTCAGCGTGTAGCAATTTATTCGAACAAACGGTTGAATTTTTATTTGTTTATCGTAAAGTATATCATTCTGTGATATAAATTTTTATTTGCATTTGATGTAAATTTTGCTCGTCCCTGATACGCTGTACAACCGAAAAGGAGGTTCTTCGTAGCTAATTGGAACGACGAAAATGTAGCACAAGGTTTGTTTGTAGGAGGCTTCGTTTTCGTGGAAATCGAGTTTGAAGATTCCGTAATTGATGTGTTTAGATCTCTGCGTGTGTATTAGTAAATGATTCCGTGTCCGTGTGAGCGCTGAAACGTTGGTTCTACCAATTTGAAATTCTTCGTTCTACTTCTTTTTTAACAGTGTAGAATTTTTAAAAATTTTTAGACAATATACGTTTTTTTAGAAATATTTAAAAAAATAAGGTTTCTCTAAAATTCCATTTTCCTCGTAGTTTGGCGATTTTATATCACGTATCGAATCTAATCGTGCTTTAGGATTATCTCTTACATGTAGTTTATCGTTATGGTTCACTACGAACTGTGAACTTTGAAATACGCGTGGGCCGTGTCTATCTATTTAATACTGGTGTACGCGATCAATTGGAGATTATTTTTAATGTACGGAATACTGTATTACACGATAAAACGCGCGCGATCTAAACGTTTCAAATAAATATGTTTGCTTGTGTGGAATTGCGAAAATATAATACTTTAGATTCGAAGAGGCTTAAAGCAGATAATAGTTTATCGGATCTTACACGATTACATTTACTCTTTTTTGTTAGATATTAAAATGTTGTGCGTTTCCTATCTCATTAATAATATTTTATATAAA